CTCCCCTGGGGCCCGAGGGGGGCCCAGCAGGGAGGTGGCTGTTCTGGTCCCTACTTAGGAAGACAGAGGCAAAGAAATCGGAGGTTGCGCTAGAGTGTATCTTTTAGACAAGGCCACCCAATCTTCATATAAAGATCTTGAGGGAGGAAACAAGATGCTGCTTCTAGTGCTTTCCTCCCCCGCTTTTGTGTTATCTTTCTCCCTTGATTATTTTCTCACTGGAGCTATTGACTTATGATAAACAACCACCAGCTTGTAACTACAGTAGTTTGGGGCCTGGGGGCTCAACAGGCTGATGTGAATGCAAAGGTTTTGAGCAACTGCACAAATTTTTCATAAATGCAATTCTATGGCACGGCCTGCGGAAAATGTAGTAAGCGCCTTGCCTCTGCAAAGCCTCTGGTCAAAGAACAAATGCATGTTACCATGAGGGAACAGGGGCTTCAAAAGAGCCTGGATCCAACCTCAATAAAGACTAACAGAGATCCTATCTGCCTCTGGACACTGCAGGTCAGCACCCAAATGTAGTTTGGACTCTTAGACACTAAAGACATCAGGTTGCCATGCCTGGGACACTGTGTTGCCTCTGTTACTGTTGTGATGGGAGGGTTGGTCCTTGGGAGACTCCATGGCATCTGTCTATCTTTCCCCCTAAAGCCACATACTTCATCATGGGGAGTTTCTCCCCATGCTGATAATGATGGATGGTTCCTTGGTGGGAAGTTGTTCCCTTTCTGGCATGACAGTTTGTGATTGGTTAATGGATGTTGCATTGCTATTCACATTCAAACAGTGGAGGAATCATTTTTTTCCATGTCCATATTGAGTTCACCATGCATGGGCCCTAAAGCCTTCCCTATCATAATGCTGCTGTATCTGTTCTACCCTTATCCCAGGCACACTTCCTCAATCTTTAAAATCTTTTACCGTTAGCCTGAATTCTTCAGAGGCCACTGCAGTCTTCCTGTAGCTTGCTTCTTAGGAGACTGGGTAGGGATAGGACTGTGGTCATGGGTACAAGAGAAGGATCCAGCAGCCCCAGTCTGTCCTGTCCCATTGTTGTTGGACAAAAGGTGGCCTGAATTGCAAGGAGTGGGAAATCAAGGAGGCAGCAAACAGAGCCACCTTCTGTTCTCTGCTATGGAACTGAGCATACTAGTTTCAGGTACTGGAAAGGGAAGCATGTCATCCCATTTTCACAGAACCTTGATCACCTTTACTGCCTCTTGGCACCTCCAGGTGCTCTCAGTTCTCCTTAGGAATCACAATAGCACAGTTAGGTACATGGTACAGGTACAGGTGTTGGCCACCATCAAAGTCAAGGAAGGGCATTAAATGAGTCATTGGCACTGCAGTCCCTATAGTTACGGCTATGGTTTTGTCATGGCAAGCTGAAAAGATTCATTTTAAGAAACTCCATGACTCTACTGAGGCACTCAGCCACTTAGTGAGCAGAACAATTAGGATCATGGGAGATAAAGTTGAATCAGAGGTGCTGACATATCAGAAAATATGGAGCATTAACCCTCTACATGACAGCTCCCACAAGGCAGCGATCCACAGCAGGGAAACAGCCAGGAGGTTACTGGTTAGCTCTCTTTATGAATTTTTCCAACAGTACTGCACTAAAGTTATTGTGGCAAAATCATACAGACCTAACTATACTCGTGGCTAGAAATGATGTCAGGGCTGCTTGGCTGCAATACTTGTTGTGAGTGCCTTGAGATGGGGAGCTCTCACACATTGTCTATTCAAGCTTCACTGGTCCCTGTGCTGTAGGGGTAGATCAGGAAGCTAAGGGGGCATGTGTGTGTGTGTCTGTGTGTGTGTGTAGATCAGGAAGCTAAGGAGTGTGTGTGTGTGTCTGTGTGTGTGTGTAGATCAGGAAGCTAAGGAGTGTGTGTGTGTGTGTGTGTGTGTGTGTGTGTGTGTGTGTGTGTGTACACACAAGGGTATGATCCCAGTCAGGCCCATTGGGACGACAAGATCCATTGGTTATCAAGCATTAACCAGCCTCACAGGCAGTGTGTCTGCACCTACCATAGGTTGCATCAAGGCGGGCAAGTGCTTGCCCTTTCAGACCTGCCACATCAGGACTCTTTAAACATTGCCAAGAAGCTCACCATCTGGGGAGGGAGGAGATATGTTCTGGATGTTTTCAGAACCTCTTAGCACAGCTGCCTGTCCAGAGCCCAATTAGTGCCTGGTCCCTGTATGGCTCAGTGCTGCAAAGCAACCTCATTCATTCTCATTAGCTCCCAAAGAGACTGCTGCTACCGCTACTGCTACCAGGAGCAGCTGGACCTGCCTTTTCACTGGGAGACATGAGATTGATCTCACCTCTAGGCAATCATTTCCTCTGTGGAGAGGATATGCCACAGTTTTTCAGTGTGCAGTTTCTTGCATTTTTCCTCTGCGGCATCTAGTCTAGCCATTGTCAAGACACCAGACTTAGACTGTACCTGGGTTTGAGCTAGTATGCTAGCTCCTGTGTCCTTATGGTAGGTACAGACCAAGTCAGCCTGAGGTAATGGGAAGCAACATCTTCCAAGAACCCATGATCTCAGTGTGATGGGACACAGCACAAAGGAGACTGTGGCACCCCCATGCCTAGAGAGATGAGAAGCCTGGCTTAGGCCCCATAATGATGAGCAAGCATCTTTGTCAGTGAGTCCATGGCATTTTACAAAGCAGCAGGAGAAATGGTGTGGTTGCAAATGGGTGCTGGTTCCTAATGCTGTTGACAGTACCTAGAGGTGTATTATACTGAATCAGCTTAAGTGAGAAATGTTCCTTGCAGCTCAGCTGCCTGAAGTTGGCAGATATAAGCAGTAGCCAGGAGAGCTGGATCTGGAAATAGCCTGGGAAAGCTGACATCATGTAACTAGTCCAGGAGCAAGGTCTGCAGTTCTCATAGGGATTAACGTGAATTTACTTAGGCTCTAACTTAGGGGTCTGTGCTTTGAGAGTTTTATACTGGTGCCTAGTAGGATTCCCTCCTGGATAGTGAGTGAGGAGGGACGAGCCCCTGTAACACGGCTCCCTGAGCTAGCTTAAAGAAGATGACAGCCACACTGGTTCGGTGTGGGAAGGCCTTCCCACCAAGGCCCCTTCCTGCCCAGAAGACAAGGTTGTCCAACTCTGAACTGGCTCACTGCTTTGGTTGTTTTATATTCCATGAGAGAAGCCATGGGCATTGTCTAAGAATGAGAGGGACTTGCCATGATGCCTCAGATCCTCAACTGGAGCCAGACCAGAGCAGGAGCGTGTCTGGTTCTAAATCCACCCTTTGCATGTTCTTTTCATAGTGAAGTCTAGCTTTCTGAGCTCATTCCAGCATCCAGGAATGGAACCTGGCCACAGAACAGCACCCAGCCACTCTGGTTTTTGCTTACCAAGTCCTGCAACCCAGCAGTGGCAATTCCCTTGAATGCTTATCACCTGAGCCCAGCAGGAGTCCTGAATCAAAGCTTTGTGGTTCTCTCATCTTTGTCTTCCCATTGCCTGTTTTGGTGGTAACCACAGCACAGCAATACACTGCATACCTCTCTACTGTAGATGAACTTACTGCCCATGAACAGGAAGAGGCCTCATGGGGATGGCTAGAGGCAACCACACTGCAGAGACAATTAGCAGCAGACAGAGGTGGATCCATGGGGGTGCAGTGGCACAGCTGCACCCCCCTTTGGGATTGGATTGCACCATGGGAGCCTCTTGAGATGTTTTAAAGTCTCTAAAGCAGGTGAAAATCCTCCCTCCCTTCTGCCTC